CTATCTTTTAAAGATCTTTTAAATGTTTTCATAACAGAGCACATACCATTCCTTTTGCTATTTGCCATGCAAAACAAAGAACATTGTCCACAGAGAAGTCAACTTCGTTGTCAAATCCTTGCTGTTCCATTGACTTTTGCGTTTCTCTTTCTCGGGGGGGCTTTGGCAAACTTCGTGCATGTCGCGGATTTCGTGTTGAATTTTCTTTTTCATCAGTGTTTGAAGTGATTTTATCTTTCACTTTTCCTTCATCGCTTTTGTTATCTTCCGCGGCGTTCTCACTGATCGAATCGTGTTCAGTTATACTTTCGTGGCAAATTCCACCAGGAAGATTTGCTGTGTTGTGACTAACTTCACCAGCCGTCGACGAGATCGCGGTTTCATCGTCTTCTATCTGTTTTATATTTTCTGCTTCATCTCGTTTGCCACTTTCTATAGCTTTTCCAGAAGTATTGACAAGTTGAGGCTGCACTTTAACAGCTTGAAGTGTTGTTGGCTGAGCCCTATCAGAACCTTTGGAGGCCATGTTCGTCCCACATGGCATTTGTGAAATCACTTGATCGCTTTTAGTGCATTGTTCCTCTTTCACAGATATGGCTATTTGTGGAGAGCTGATTAATCCTTGGTCATTTTCGGTTCTCGGCTCTGATTTCTCTTTCTTCATGACTTTTTCGATATTGTCGTAGTCCTCATTAAAGGCATCCTTCTCTGACATTTTTGAGGTGACGAAAACATCTGTCACGGATTCATGAATGACCCCATCTATGCCGTTCTTGCAGTTGATCTGCAATTTATGACACACATCATCGGGACGAGTTAAAATGCACTCAGTTTGCTTTAACACTTTTAATGAGAAATGTATTGAAAATGTAATGGACTTTCCAATGATATATCAATTCTCCATTTAATTGTCAGTGTTATCAGCTATTTGTTACTCCGCTCAATCTTTAATAAGTTTTGCCCATGCATGGTTTGAGCAAAGGATTTCCTTGAAGACAGAAGTCAAAAACAAAAGCGCTGGGAAGA